CATGCATTATTTGAATATTGTGTATCAGTATTATTCAAATTAGTAATAAAGGAAACATTATTATTATTATTATTACAAAGAGAAAAAAATAAAACATTTATTTAATAGGAAAATTCATTGAGCGTTTTCAATTATTAACTATTTAGTGAAAATATTATTATTACTAATAAAAATATTCAAATAATGCATTTGCTATATAAACCTTCAGTTTAAATAATTTTAATTTATTGATTAGATACTATAAAAGTCAATATATATAAATTCTATAATTCTTTTAGTTTGTCAATTGGGGTTTGAAAGTTCTTAAATATTTCTAATATTGCCATAATATCGCTATATTTAAGGTCATGACATAGAACACATTTTTTTTGCACTTACATATGTCCAAAGTACATAAGGTCGAAAATCGATCTAGTATAAATATTGGTAAATTCTTGATGACACTAAGGGCTTGCCTATTTATTATTTGGCGTATGTGACGTCACTACTAAAAAGGTCTATTGAGAAGTAAGTGCATAGAAATAAATGGTGGAAGTGACAAGAATATAATTATTTAACTTTTGTTGGTTTGTTTCATTATTTAATTTTTAAATTTGTCACAACTAAGATTATTCATAATTATTATAATACTTACCCCATTACTAGAGTTTAATTATTTTAATTTTTTTGTTTTTGTTTTGCCTCATGGACAACTTGATATCAACAATAAATTAATGAAACAATTTTTTGATAAAATTTGGTATTGGCCTGTTTTGGGGGGTCGTGAATCCAGTGGCGTAAATATATTATTTCTCAATAAATCCCTAATATGAAATATTAGAATTTTGCTCCTAAAAACGGACATAGTACGCCTTGGATTTTGTAGGATCACGCTCATTTTCCTTCACAAAGCACACTTCATCGAGCTCTACATCTTAAAAAAAATCCGGTTAAAATCGCACAATAAATAAAGATTTTACAAAACAAATGAATCACGGGGTATGTTAATATGAACTTTTCTTTTTAAAATATGAAGAATCACCCCCTGAAATATTTTAGGCTATTTAGGAAAGATTCTACAGTGAATGTGAAATTTTAGAAAATACCGATTCCATCCGTTTGTCTCGTTTAATGATAGAAAACAACCCATTCATTCATACCATTACTGATGTTTAATAACCGAATTTGGTTCACCTTGTACGCTCATTTTTTTCCGGCACCCCATACAGAGACGCGGGACTTTTCCTCCAACCTCTAACTTCGCACACATCCATCGTCGATTTCATCACCACCACTACCTAGTCATGACATTACATGTAATTGTTTTCCGAGGCGCATTAACATACAGTTGCCTGGAGATTGGGTAACGATCCGTTAATGTTATGTTATCAATAATAATTAAACCTCTCCGTGGCGAGGTTGTTAATCCACAGATGCCCCCGGCCGCTTTTAATTGTTTAGAATAACACAATCGTTTATTTTTTTTTGCGTCCCGGGAAGGCCTGAGCAAATGTCAAGTTTATGAAATTTATCGCAGTCGCCCGACGAGCGCAAATGTTAACGCGGTGCCTGTATTTCAATCGAGTCGGCGCGACGATTTATTTTTGTTAAGCGGTTTGTTTACGTTTCGGCGTCGACTGCCACTTCGACTACCGTACGTGATGATAAATGGGGTAATTTAGTTGGAAATAATGGTAATTCACGGATTATGAACTCAAATATATTGTTTAGGTTAGGTATATGCATTGATATGTTAATGGTCCACTAAACTGTATAATGTGCTGTTTTTCTTATAAATGTAAAACCTAGTCCACATCTACATACATAATTTTGACCGTAAACGTACAAAAACATGTATTTTCTGGACACATGAAATGTTAACTTTCTCTTTACATAACCTCAATATCAATACAAGGCAATACTTTGTGTGAAGTGTGCTTTTTTCCGTAAAATATAAAATGAAAAAGTTTATCTGCACCCACTAAAGTAAACAGACTATTCATACATTGTTTTTAGGAGATTTCAAGTTATAAATGCATATTTTATGAACAAATAAATAGAAATATCTGATGGACATTACATTTTATTAATTATTATGAATGAATATTTATAATACTTAATTGTACAGTTATTGTATTTAGTAACATTTATAGAATCTGGATAATTATTCCCCTCGCGTTTACTAATTGTCACATTTTTCTCAAATTTGTCAAATATCGCTAAGGCACTAGAAACAATTATAACGAGCGTTCAAATAAAAACGTGGTCAAGTTGGTTCTGAAAATTTGGACGTAGGGCGTAGCGTATAGGAAATGAACTTAAACGTCATCTGTCAAAGCGCTATATCGCCGCTATCAATTTGAATATTTTCGTTTTAAAAAGCGTTTAAAATGGTGTTTTCTCAATAACAAAAAGTGTTTATCATAGAGTCCTACTTTAGAAATGGACGCAAGATTGATGGAATATGGAAGTATTCTATTGAGGAATGTTTCACAGAATTTCAAAATCAATTTCCCGGCGTTGTGGAGTACAAAATTTTTCAAAGTGCAGTTCAGCGTTGTGTTAATGTTTTTCGTGAAACGGGCAGTGTAACAAGAAAAGAAGGAAGCGGCCGACCTAAAAAGCGGACTGAAGAATTAAAAGAAAATGTCCAACAAATAATGGAAAATGCGCCAAGAACTTCTGTACGTGTTTTATCACAAATGGTGGGAGTATCAGTCGGTACCTGCCACACAGTGTTAAAAAAAGATTTGCGTTTGTTCTCCTATCGTTTAACTTGTCAGCAAGAACTTCATGAAGTTGATTTTCCGCGACGGGCTGTATTTTGTGAATGGTTTTTAAACAACTACGGTGAACATCATAATATCACCTTTTTTTCTGATGAAGTCTGGTTTCATTTAAGTGGTTACGTAAACTCACAGGATATGAGAATGTGGTCTTCTGAAAAACCAGATAACTTTTTTGTCGAGGGCCCTCTACACGCTCAAAAAATTGGAGTTTGGTGTGCTCTCAATCGAAGAAGGATTTATGGACCTATTTTTTTAATGGTACTCTTACTGCGCAAAGGTATAGAGAAGAAATTATCGCTGCTTTTGTTAACCAGCTGGAAGAAAACGAAATTACACACTTTTACTTTCAACAAGATGGCGCAAGGGCACATACGGCAGGCGAGACGATGAATATGTTGAGGGAAGTTTTCCAAAATCGACTAATAAGTCTCAATGCTGAACATGAATTTCCACTAAAAACACTATTTTTGAACTGCCTATTCCTGATTTAAACCATCTGCAGGCTCGACTTACAGACAAGATTCGTGAAATTAACAATATCCCGAGCATCTTAGAAAATGTCTTTAATTCTTTGAGGAACAGGTGTGAAAAGTGCTTAGAACAAGGAGGGGGACACTTTCAGCAGCTGCTTTAATTTATTGTTATAATAAGGAGGGGGACACTTTCCGCAGCTCCTTTAATTAATTGTTTGTTATTGTTATCACGATTATTCTTTAAAATAAAGTTATATAGTCATTAACGTTATTGAAACTGACAGCTGCTATACAGCTCGTTGAGAAATGAGGATAAGTTGGTCGCTATAAGCTACTCCCTACGTCCAATGTGTCAGAGCCAACTTCGACAACGTTTTTATTTGAACGCTCGTTAAATGCTTATATTTATGATAAGGTTAGAAACAATATTTCACTCTCACAGTATTTATTTCAAGCTGGTAGATCGACCGGTGGTAACTTAGTTTTTGTAGATAATGTAGTTAATGCCTATAATAATAAACATCAACTTGATGTTGTTTATACAGATTTTGCAAAGGGATTTGATAAAGTTGATCATCGAGTATTGCTCCAGAAGTTAAGAATGTACTCTGGAAAACTTATTATTATTTCTGATGATATATAGGTATGGTAAACAGAAAACATTATGTTTCTATTAACAATTTTAAAACTGATTCATACCTTGCCACCTCAGGAGTCCCGCAAGGTTCTAACTTGGGACCGTTGCTGTTCTTACTGTTTGTGCAGATGATTTAGCTAGTGTTGTGCATAAGAGTTCTACGTTATTGTTTGCTGATGACTTGAAAATATTTAAAGAAGTAGAGAATTTAACAGATTGTATACAGTTGCAAGACGATTTAAATAATATTTTTAACTGGTCAGTAAGAAATAAATTATCCTTTAACATAAACAAATGTAAGCGAATGACACACATTGCAAAAGAATCCTATTAACTTTATGTACAGCATAGATGGTGTTCTTCTGCAGGCAGTTGAAGAGGCAAGGGATCTAGGTGTGCTATTTGATTCGAAATTATCCTTCAATAACCATGTTATTGGTATTGTTAATCAGGCAGTAAAAAATTTAGGTTTTATCATAAGAAACTCGCAAAATTTCAGATCGATGAAAACTTTAATATCGCTCTTCAATTGCTATGTCAGGTCAAAACTGGAATACTGTTCAGTGGTATGGAACCCATATTATGCCAAATATATTCAGTTAATTGAAAATTTAAATTTCAGTCACCGGAGACTCAATATTATTTGACTGATCCATTAAAACAGCATGATGCGACGTGCTACTAGAACCTGGAGTTGAAGTGTCATTGTAAAGAATCCTGTTGGCGTTGGCTATTTTATTTTTGTTACTTAAACTGTCAGCAACATAACTTTCTGCAATTGTGGCTGAGTTCCACCCACCATGTCTCTTGATTGCTAATACATCAACTCCTGTATTATCCAGTAACGTTGTCGATGTTCTTCAGAATGAACGGCCTGTATATGTTTCAGGATGTTCTAGTTTCAAAAGTTGTGCAATCTTATTAGGAATCATAGAAAGGGTATTCAAATGTGGCAAGATGAAAATGAAAAAAAATATCATTTTTGACTTTCAAAAGTAGTCATTATACCAACAATTATACCCCAAAACTATTTTTCAAAATTTTCATTTTAACAATAATTTTTTTTGCAACAAACATTTTCGGGACTTTAAATTAAAAAAAAAAGAGACAAAAAGGACTTACTGTTTGAACATTTCTGTGGATTTGGCAGTGAGAGGAACCTTCCGGGCCTGTTGGACACCGGCCTGATCTGACTGATTGCAGGATCGGCCGATACGCATGCGCAGGCGCACGCTGCGAGTATAAAGCAGGCGAATTTCATCTGTAACAGAAAAACAAAAGTTGAAAAACTCTTCTTTATCATTCTATTGCGAGTACCATCAATGAGCGTAAACGAGAATATCATGTGATTTTCATGTTCCCGTTGCCTTGTACATATCCAGTTTCTAATTCTAACTGTAAATTAACACACTGTAATAATTTTTTTACTAAATGGGATATGTCCCCCATGGGGAATTCTCAGGCTATTGTGTACGTGGTAACGAAATTATTAGACAACTAATAGGTAAGACGCTAACGACAAGCCACAAAAAAATGTTTATATTCCATTAAAGTTATTTATAATGGTCAGGAGACCTTCGCCTGGCCGAATAACAAACAGATGTACAATCGAAGGCGACGAACGTGTGTATTAATATTTATCGTTGGAATTTAAATGGAGGTTTCAGGATTTTTCTGAATTAAGTATTCCGTCCCGTACATAACCGTTTTTATGACCATCTAGCCTGGAGACAGACAGAACTATTAAAGAAGCAACCGACTATTTTAATTAACATCGTTGTTATGAAAAGTCATGCATATTAAAATTTTTAACTGTTGGGGCCGATATGCCTATTCGCCTACTTTTTCCGTTGCTACACTTTCACCAAAGACGGTGACGTAGTGTCGAATTCCACGTTTTTGGTCCACTGTTATGTAACATATAGGATGTTGGAGTAGAAATAGTTTTTTTTTAATTCGAACGACTTGAGACTAGAAAGTTTAAAATCGTATATGCAGCCTTAAATATTCTCATATCGGAATGAGTAAGTCGTAACCGCCGTTAAATTTGAATATTTGCAATGCGATTACATTGACGTTCTTTATTTAATTTCAAATGATTTGAAAATAATACCAAAAGTCTTACCAAAAGAAAATAAATAAGTATTACAAAAAAAAACATTTAAAATAGCCACTGTATTTTTCTGTAATTGACTGACGAGGGTTTTACCTACATTAGGTGCAAAAATTAAAAAGAAATAAACTGATTGCCAGCCTATTACTTTAAATATAAAATGTAAGCAAGTTGAATTGTTATATTGTGTAGAGTACAAACATGGGCGTAGCTAGAATTTTTGCTTGCTTGCTTTCGCAATCAGCAACTTGCCGAATAAAATTTCAAAAACCTGAACACGTTTTGATTTCATTCTAAAAAAAGGTCACGCAGTCAGCCACGATAATATTAGATCTTTTTTTCTGGGGTGGACCGTACACACCCCTGCTCCCCCTTAGCTACGCCAATGATTATAATCAATATAGGGTCAAATGTAAAAGGTACTAATTCCATAAAATCTAATTCATATGAATTTAAATGTTTTATAGCCAATTATTTCTTCCTAGGATTTTTTAGTGTTGATATTTGAAAAAACATATTTTATAAAATATTTCGGATTTTGATGAAATTTTATTTAACGATTAGTCTGATTAAAATTAAACGTTTACTAAATTTGATTATTAAGTCGCTGCTTGTATCTCATTGTGGCGATTCTAAGAAGAAAAATCCTATTTTATTCTAAAATCGGACTATTTTTTGACATATTTTGACTTTTTTAACTTAGGTATATCAAGTCAGTTACCAAGTATCGGAGATTTTCCCCGGAATTTTCCCGGACTCTCTCCCCATAGTTTCCCCTGGAATTTTCTCCCGGACTTTTCCCCTGACTTTCCAGAAGTTTTTTCCCGGAGTTCTTCCGGACTTTTCCCCAGAGTTTTGCATGAAACAGCTGGTACACATTTATTTATGCTCAAAACTGTCTAACAGTTAATAACATTTTGCTACTTATTTTTTATTACAATATTTGTTTTATAATCAAAGCTCCTCTTTCAAAGCTTCAGTTTTTTACGTTTTCTCATACGGTCTAAAAATATCCGTTTCTTTAGAGTTTTTTTTTTTCAAAAATAGGGAGCAATTTTCTAGGTAACGGTAATTTTAGAAACTATAATTAATAGCAATTTTATAATCAATATAGGGTCAAATGTAAAAAGTATTAATTCCACAAAATTCACACAGTCGGCGAGTTACCGATATGCCGATATGATAGACGATAATATTAGATCTTTTTTTTTGGGGGTCGGCACCGGGCTTTTTGGGGTGGGCTGTGCACACCCCTGCTCCTCCCTAGCTACTCCCATGAGTACAAAGTGTGTAAAAATTAGTGATGTTACAATTCGAAAAAAGAACAATAAACATTGGGAAACAATCCTGTTTCCAAAGCAAAAAGTTAAAAAATTTAAAGAAATTAGGAGGAGATATACAGATAATAGTCCAATTAAATAAGCCTTTAAATCTAAATTTCGTCAACTTGGCTGAATTTTTGATATGAGTTAGTTTAAAGTATATTACAACAATAAGTGAGAGTAATTTTTTGTTCAACCCCCGGCCAAGGGTGAAAAAAGATAAAACAAAGGGGTTTTTCAAGATAACTCAAAAAGGGTAAGCGCTAGAAAAAAAGTTGTAAAGCATACAATTCTACATAAAAATGGTCTCTTGACTTTTTCTTGTACTATTAAAATTAACAAAGTTAGGGAGGCTAGAAGTTAAGGGAAGATTTCAGAAATTAAAAAAAAATCATAACAGAAAAATGAATGAATTTTGTAATTTTTTTTTTCAATCTGCTCTAAAAAATGTAACATTTCTTTTCAGAGAAATAGATATATTTTTTAATTTTTAATAAGAAAGTTATAACAAAATCAAAATTTTAGTCGTTAGTTTTAATGATTTAACAAAACCAAAACAATGTTTTTTCTATACTATTCGAGTGATTATTTAAAATAATGAAAAGTTCCCTTCGATTTTTTTTTTGCGTTGGTTTCTTAGACAGCTACAAATTTATTTACCTTTTTATCTTCTGAATTTTATTTAGCTCCTACGACACTGCAAAGACAAAGACAAAAAAATCACGTTCGCTTTGTCGCACCATGGTACCGAAGTCGTGGACATAATATGCCTATGACAAAGATAGATTATATCGTTCGCTATTGTCAATGCGCGTGCGTTAGTAAACGTGTGTTTCTTTGAATTATTCTAAGTTCTAAGCTCAATATCCATTGTTAATTTCAAAAAGGTAAATAATGAGGACTAATATTTTTGTTGATTACATTTTGTAAAAGCTCGATATTTTTACGCATTCTTGTCTATGTAAAACGTGGAAATTTATTTATTAATACTTGTAAACTTGTAGTTTGAATTGTATTAATAATAACATAGTGATAACAATAACATAAATATATATCATAATTTTTTGTCCAAAACATTAAGAAAACAAGAAATTTTCTTACAAGGAAACACCCCGATTTTCAAGATTTTTATATATGTTGTAGAGTAGAACATAAAAGATTAAGAGACACGTATTTTTTTATCGGTGGAAAAACATTTTTACGGGGTCAAAATACACCCTCAAAGTTCGACCCCAAAACAGTTTTTTCTAAATATCTGGGGTTCTAATCAATATTTTGAAATAAAGCAAAATGGAAATTACTTATTATAAAAAACAAATATTTCGGAAGTGTTCCGTGTTTGGGGGTTGCTATCCTTATTTTTTATTTCAGAGAAACTATATATTTTTTTTAAATTCATATTTACTCAAAGAGAGTTAAAATTATGATTTATGTAAACAAACTGACAAAATTAAATAACACACATTTTGAAGAAATAAACGGAAAAAGAACAAGCGCCTCATTTAAAAAAGTACATAAGTTGCACAATACATATTTTTCTGTCTTATTGAATTGAAATCCATAAAAAGTGTACTCATAAACTATCAAAACCTTGAAAATTTTGTTGAAAGGGTTTTTAAGAATATTGAAACAATACAAATACTCGTATATTCCTGCATTATCAGAGAAATTGAGGAGAATAAGTAACAAATTTAACATTAGAACAATTTTTCAGATAACAAACACTTTACGACCGTTGGACATTTACTGATGTAATATTTACATAATTAAAATAATCTACTTCCAAGCTGGTCCGACATGGTAATTTCCACTCGGGGTTTAAATAAACATAACAACATTATATACTATCATAAAAAATACTTGCAGCACTACTTTTCTAGGCTCGCAATTAAAAAGGTCTTCTTTAAAAATGCAACAATTTATTTTTTTATATTTTTGATAATTCTTCAACATATGTCAATAATATTATTATTAGTATCCAGCCGTCTGTCATATATTCATCCTTACAATTATTTATACCTCATGAGGAAAAATATTAATTATATAAGCCGCGTAATGCAAGCTTGGGAACGGGGTCTCGGTGGTGTAATAAGTTGGACGTTGTCTTATAAATCCAAAGGTTCGGGGTTCGATCCCCGATCAGGTACGGTTTTTTTTCAATTAATATAAAATTTCCAATGCAATTTTTCATCGTTTACATTTCAGAACAAATATTTCCGCACCAGATGGTCAATTTCTCACAGTGTTGCCACAGAATAAGTATCGTGGTGTTGCCAAATATCTGCGTTTAGAGGCGCGTTAGATTCCTAGTTAAATTATAACAGAAAATCGTGAAATATAAAGTGTAGAATACGTATGTTAAAAGCGAAATTCAAATGAATTAGAATATGGTAGGTTATTCGCATAAGAAAATAAAATTAAAAATGATCTTTCAGGCATTTTTTATTTCTTTTGTATTCTTGAAAAATCACAAAAAGTTTTTTTAGATGTTTTATAGGTTGTTTTTTGTGACTAAAATGAACTTTCAGTTAATATAATATCGAGGATGAGCTACACAATTTATTAAGGAATAAATTAAAAAACAAAAAATCTTCGGGTCCCGACGATTAAAAATTTGATTTTGTTATAACTTTCTTATTAAAAATTAAAAAATATATCTATTTCTCTGAAAAGAAATGTTACATTTTTTAGGGCAGATTGAAAAAAAAATTACAAAATTCATTCATTTTTCTGTTTGTTATGATTTTTTTTAATTTCTGAAATCTTCCCTTAACTTTTAGCCTCCCTAACTCTGTTAATTTTAATAGTACAAGAAAAAGTCAAGAG